ACACACACACACGCACACACAAATCCACCACACAAACATTGAAAGAGACAAAGAAGACAGAAAAGAGCAGCAGATAAACTTAGTATTTCGATGCAATAGTTGTGTTTTTTTGTTGGAAATTTATTCCAAACTGAAAGAGAAAATTGGTTTTATGTCATGCTCGTACATTTTCATACTGATGTGATATTCTATATACATTCATGGGCTTTTGTGTTCCTGCATTAACATTCATGTCATACTCAATCAGTTCAACAAGTGAGGGAATTGAAATGGGTTTTTACAAAGGTTCCATGAACGGCACATGACTGTCAACATGTTGAAAATGTCAGGGGATGTTTACTTGGATGCTGTTTCAGCCGGTGTTAATTTACATGTTGATGCTGTGTTATTACAACGAGGATGCCATTTAACATATGTGACATCTTCTAGTAAACACCTTTAATATGTTGACCTCCTTTCTGAAATGCGAAGGAACAAGAGATAGTTTGTCAACTTTACTGAGCTGCTCCTTCTTCATTAAATAAATCTTATTTCCTTCTTATGGGAACTGTAACTAAGTTCATGCTGAGAAAGAAAAGACAGAAAAGGGAGAAAGTAGAAGGTCAGTAGTTTTTTCCCTCTCTCCTTGCTGTCAGCGACTGCCACATATTTCCCCTTTAGACCAGAAGGATGTTTGGTGTGTGTGTGTGTATTTTTTGGTTGTGTGTGTTTGTGTGTCTTCACGTCTTCCCTCAGGCCATATTGTTTCATTGCCTTTTTTCTTGGATTGACTATAAATATTCATGCGCATGGCTTGTTAAACATGTCTTTTCTCTCCTCTTGTCTAAATCCCAACCTTGTGTTTCTCTCTCTCTTTCCAGGATCCCTCCTTCTCTCTCCTCCTCCACGATAAGCTTCAGGTGCCTAACAGTTCTCGGCTGGCGTGGAACGAGCGAGACAGTCGCTGCGATGTTTGCGCCACTCACCTCACTCAGCTTAAACAGGAAGCCGTGCACATGGTCCTCACCCTCGACCAGTGGGACCTGTCTCCCACCTCTTCCCCCACTGCTCTGATTGGACGATATGGATCTCAAGGACCCCCGGGTCCACTGGGAGCATCTGGAGTACCAGGAGTTCCTGGGTCGCGGGACTGGCCTCCTCCTTTTCTCCCTTCCTCTTCCTCCTCGGCTGTGGCTTCCACTTCGCATCTTCCTCACCAAGCGTCCCAGTCGCCTTCTCCAAGCCCAAACCAGACTCCGACACCCAGCCCCAGCCACGGACCACCCAACGGCAGCAATGGGAGTCCTTCAGTGCAAACATCCAGCTGTGCTTCCTCAAACCCACAACCTCAAGGTCCAGGGCACAGACTGGGGTCCAAGCCCAGCTCCTTAGGTCTTGGAGGTGGGGTGGACAGGAGGAATGGGTCTTCTGGTTCAGGAAAAACAGCTGGTGTCCAACAGCAAGTGACTGGAGTTAACAGCCCCAACAATAGCAGTAATAGTAGTAATAACGGTAGTGGAGCAGTACTGAGCACAGCAGCTCTGCAGGCCCATCAGCACATGAACCGAACTAACGGAGGGGTTACCCTCTATCCGTACCAGGTAAGCTCTCTATAGAAATGTGTGTGTGCACCTGTGCATGTATGTGTGGCTTATTTACGTAAAAATCTGAACAGGACAATGCAAATACTACAACGAAAATGGAATAAATTACTTCTATTCTTATATAATTATAGGCTAGAAAATGGCAACAGAACAGGAACATTTCCAGCTTGTAGGTGTACCTGCCTACTTTAATGTGACCCTGTTAACCACCCGACTCCTGAGATAACATGTTCAAATCTCTCCTCTCTTCTATTTTCCTATTCAGACGAGGCTATATATCGCATCTATACCTCAGGCAAAGTGTGTGTCTACGTGTGTCCATGTGCACGCATGTGTGTGTTACTTGTAGGATAAGGAGGGAATGGGGGAGGCAATTAATTTGTGTCTGATTGCTGCAGTTTATATAAAAATTAATTTCCCTTTTAAGTCTTAACTCAGGAAAATCTGACTTAACAGACAAGATACATATATTTTTAAATTTAGTGTGATTCACAGTTTCATTAATTCTCAATCGTAAATACATGTAATGTAATGTTATTTCAGTTATAAATCATTAAAATATATATGTTCGTGAGAACTCCAGCAATTGCTTAAAAAGCATCAAGTGTAGAATCAAAGTAATACAGGGATAGTCCAGTCCAGCGATAGTTTTCTATTAAATTTAGAACATACAGTATATATTACAACAAGGACTAATAATAGCTAATTTAGCATCCTTTCAATGGTGCCAACATACCAAAAACAAGGAAACATTATATTTGGTGTTTACATTTCCCAAAGCATTGTAGGAAATGTAGTTCCAAAATCTGCAGCTTGACAATCACACAAACTTTCGTAAGCGGAAGACAAATAAATATAATAATAATAATAATAACAGCAGTAACAAAATCCATTAATATCAACTTATTCGTGTCAAACCTGTTTGACAAAAAATGTTGTTGCTTTAAAAATCTGTGGAAAGTCTTATGTAAATAATTATTTAAAAATACTAGTTTTTAGAATAGCTTGCAGGTACTGTATAAGGTAAGATAACGTAAGGTAAGGTAAGGTAAGATAAGGTAATGTGGTAAGGTAAGGTACAATAAGGTAATAAGGTAAGATAAGATAAGGTAAGATAAAGTAATAAAGTAAGGTAAGATAAGATAAAGCAATATAAGATAAGGTCATAATTTTTCCAGTTATTCCAGTATTACAGCAGCCCCAGTAAAAAAGAATATAATAAAGATAGAATTAAATTAAATAAAACTATATAAGAATAATTAGACACAAAACACAATGACGCAGAAAATTCCAGTGGTGCAGAAAAATGAAAGCAGTCACACATTCACTAGGGATGTGCTTGATCTAGTGGGGTAAACCATCTCAAAGTGCTAATGGTGATTAAAATATAAGATATAAAGCAAAACTGGGACATAATGAAAATATTTGTTAACAAGCTCTTATGAGTTAAGCAAAAGTAAGTTCTTCAACAGGGTTGAGGCCGAGCATCAGGCAGCAAGTTAGCACGGAGAAAAACTGTACAAGTGACTGCAAATGGAAAATGGAGATAGAAGAGGAGGAGGATGTATGGAGGAGAAAAGAAGAGAGGGAGCGTAAGTCGAAAAGAGAGGAGGATGGTAGAGGGAAGAAAACGCTGCAGGTGACGAGTGGTCTAGAGGTGGATAGAGGCAGGAGAGCTGAGACTCCTGGGGAAATCCAGAGGGGGGGGGGGGTGTCTGTGTGTGTGTTAACGTGTGTATGAGAATGTACAACAGATGTAATAATTCATACAGTAATAATTAGGACTCTGGGGACTCTATGTCACACACCCGCGGTACCCCTTCACTCTTTCACTCTCATGCACTTTCTCTCTCTCATTCTCTCACACACGCACACACACACACACACACGCAGAAAATCACTCTTACTTATTCCTTACGCCTTTCTTTCCTCTCTCCTATTATTTCTGTCTCACTCACACTTCATATTCATGTCCTCTTCTGTCTTGCTGAGCCGCCATCTCTCTGTATATTTTTATTCAGTCCATGTCTTGAATTAGATATCGAGATATGGAATCGTAGGTGGAAATTACTTTGTACAGTCTCAGGAATTGTTTCCTTATCTTAGGGTTAGAAATAAGACATAAGAGCAGATATGTATTCTGGTCTGTCTTTGTGGAAATAACAGAGAAATTGTTATGACCTGAGGGAGGATTTCCCTTCTCTGAGCTTAGTTAGTACCTGTGTTGGGAGGTGTAAAACGTTAGTGAGTGCTTGTGCTGTGACTTTGACTTTGACAGAAATGGTGTTTCAGCAGGAAAGGAGAAACAGAGCATGATAATAAATCACCTATGTATAGACTCACCCCGACCAGAGAGACAGGGGAGGAGGAGCTGAGTGGAGAGATGATCAAAAAATGGGTAAAGCACGAGGAAATAAAGGGAGATTAATCTAAAAGATACAGATGTAAAGGATTCGTATCAGAGAGAATCAGAATAGGAGAAATTTTATGATACAGCTTACATGTGGTATATTAATTTATAAGAGGCACATTAGCTCTGAGATCAGTCTGTATGAACACATTGCTGAGATGAATAGATCCGCTTTAATGCTCGAAACATAAAAGACGACTGAAGATGCACAGTGAAGCTTTCAGAATCTCTCACAATGGCTGATGGTCGAACGCAGGCCAAATGGGAAATATCTGCCTAATGCTCCTCAGCAAAGTAAAAGAGAACAAAAACATAGACTGTAAGACAGGGTAGTGAGAAAAAAACAGCGGCAGGAATCAATGGGTTTCATTGGAAATGTGTCTGTTAGTCTCCAGAAATGCTACCAACAGCAGCACCAGTTTTGATTTATTGGATGAAACCATTTTTAATGACAAGAATCACTGTTAAATACGCTTTTAATGGCAGCACAAGAAGACACAGGGAGCTGAGGGAGGGGGTGCACTGAGGGGGCCAGAGAAAAGGAAACGACCTGTCTGCCGGTGTGGAGCTGACATTAAAATCCTGCTGGGTCAGCAGGCTAAGAGGTGACACACCAAAGGTCCAGGCTGCAGAACTAATGGCTGAGGTCAGACAGCAGTGTGCTCAGTGATGTATGGTTCTTTAATTTCCTCCCAGAAACAACACAGACACTCTTATATCAACTGTTTGCTGTTATTTAGTGGCCCACTGTCATACCACTACTGTACCTTTGAATTAGCAGAAATCGTTCAGCTGAATTAGAAAAGACAGAGTGCAGAGTATCTGTTTGTGTCATAGCCTGTATGTTTAATCTATGTAATATCTGTAAATGTAATCTATAAATACAGTCTGTGTTTATATAGACTAGGGTTGTGCATGTTTCAGGGCTTTTTATGGTGGTGGTGTATAATGTGACCCCTGTGTGTGTGTGTACACTACCAGTCTTTATCCTTTGGGGGCAGTGGGTGGTCAACTACATCCTCCTCTTCCTGCCTCTTTTTTGCTCTCTCTCTCTCTCCATACATAATTTACTCCCACTCCATTTCCTCCTTCCTTGCCCCTCTCTCCTACATTTCAACTCCTTTTGTGCTGTCTACATTTCATTTCTGTTTTTGTTGTTGTCCTCTGAACTTTATTTTCCTTCCCACTCTATCTCTGCCTTTCTGTAACTCCATCCAACTGTATTTTTGTCTCTCTTCCACTTTTCTCACCCCACTTTTTTCCTCGAAAGGGCAACTGCTCCCTCTCTCTTTCTCTCTCTCTCTCTCTCTCTCTCTCTCTCTGTATCTTCCTCCCCTCTACTACTGCAGTAAGCATTTAGATTGTTTTACACACTGCATCTATTCCCCCTGGTATAAGCAGGCCACACACATACATGGACACAAAAAGACACAGTTTTTCATTTCAGCCTCCTCATAAAAACCTGAACTTTCAGGCATAATTTCTGTGTTGTTTGTCTATGGCATGTGGTTGGAAAAATATGGTGTTTGTGTTGTAATGAAGATGAATGAGGAAGCAGGAGTACGAGCGGAGTAGATAAGTGTTGCATTGTAAAGAAAGAGGAATAGTCTGAGCGACAGAATCAGTTTTCTTTCCACTTTGTATTTCTGGGAAAAAATAACATCACATTAATCAAAGTCCCACACTGACAGGTACAATCTTAGGACCAGGTGTTCTGTGAAAACATGGTCAGACTATTTTAATTATTTTTTTGACTATTTCACAGAATCATCCTCAGTGCTCTTTAAATATTCCTGTTGTGGTGATTTCATATTCCCATCATAAAGTTTCATTCAGTGTAATTAAATCATAGGTATGGTAAAATGTAGTGACTCTGCCTCTCTGTCCCGTGGGACACCAAAGTGTGATGCATTTTAAAGACTATGTTACCCAGAATGCTGTTTGGGTAAATCTATTACCAGGTACTGAAGGAATGTTGATTTAAATAGGAATTATCATGTTGTCCTTGCATTTTTCTGGGTGCAGTATTTCTGATGCAGAGCTAATTTGGCATACAGTACAGCTGGTTTAATGAGAGGCATGAGACATATTCATCACATCACTGTGCCAGATACAGAGAGGCACATGAAACATGATGTTATAAAGGTGGATATGATTCTTACATTTTATTATCCATGATACCAAGGTATTCTTTGGATGGCAGTGATGACAAGTACACGGACAACAGCATTCTGTTTATTGAATTCAAGAAAGTGACCTTTGTGGTCCACGTAGACCACGAAGGCCCCGTCAAAATATTTACTACACCAGCTCATCCTGGTCCCATCAATAGCTACTTTACAGGGATAGTTCACTGAAAAATGAAAATTGACTCGTTATCTACCCACCACTATGCTGATGGAGGGGTGGGTGAAGTGTTTGAGGTAAACGGCGTTGCAGCCAAGCATCGCTAGTTCCAGTAGCGGACACTGGTGTGAATGACGCCGAATTTGAATGTCAGGGCTTACGGACACTTGGATGACACCACAGGAGCAATATGGAGGCAGATTATGTTTTTTTTGGTCATTACTTCTAAAGAAGTGGTCACCAGTACTTCAATTTTATTGGATTTGGCTGCAATGCTGTTTACCCCTGCAACTCCAAAAGTGTTTTGTAGACTCAAACACTTCACCCACCCCTCCATCTGCATAGTGGTAAATAGATAATGTTTGAATTTTGAACTAAACCCTTAAGATCCTGCTCCTACTGCAGCTCAGCCATCCACATAGCTAGCTTGTTAGCTTCATCAATGAATCCTGGGATTGATTGTCCTGACAAGGATCCACTGGTTGGCTCCTCCATTGCTCAGGAACGTAAGGACGCATTTGAAGCAGCCTCGGGAATGAGACAGCCTTGGTCTGAAAATATAGCTAAAATAATTTTCCATCCATATTTTTGTGTGCATGTTACAGAACAGAGTCTGATTATGACATCAAGCATTTGGGAACTCCCCTAAATGACTTAAAATGCAAATACTCCAACATGGAGATATAATGCGATGAAGACATACTACTACTTTTAATTTAATTATTGCTAATTCCGAGTATGAACCTATTCAAGGGAAGGTTTACATGGTAGTGTCTTATTCAAATTATTGTTAATATCAGAATGCTGAACCTTCACTGTGGGCCACATATTCTCTCACCACCTATACTCCAGCTCTCAGCTCACATTACAACCCTCTGTGGGGACATTTCTTTCTACGCCGTGCAAGTTCTTTTCCTCCTCCCATTCACAAGGATAAATGAGGAACCAGCACAAATGTGCACGTATTCCATGTAGCTCACTGAACCTTAATTCCATGTGTTCATGACTCCTTTAATAATGCAGGGGGAGCGAGCCAAGTCTGAGCATTTGAACGGGTGTAGATGCACAAAGGCATAGATAAACTATAGAGGCATCTCATTTACAATTGGTAATTCATCAAGGCAGTGGGCTGCATGCTTGGACCCCAGGAGCCCTCAGCAGTAAATATATACGTGCAGGGAAAGTGATTTACACACATACACACAGGTGCAGAGAAGTGCAGTAGACATACATGCTCGCAGGTTAATTCTCACACAAGCTCTAGTTCCTATCGGAGTGTGTGGGTATGATTTAGGTCGGCTGGCTGTCTGGCCACTGGCAGCACATAAAGAACTATAATCAATAATCCATATTTATTTCATGACTGGGATGGCTACACACATGAATGCAAACACACAAACATGAACACACGTGCCTGTGTATGTCGTGTTACAAACGAATTACTTACACTCATCAAAAGCAGGTAAATTGCGATATAATTTCTTCTTTGTGTGTGAGTGTATGTCTCAACCATCCTCTGAATGTGCTCCGACTCACACTGACACAGGCCTAGATACGTTGGTCGCTCTCTCAGTTTTCGAGATACATAGACAACATGGCCCAGTGGTCGAGGCACAGACCATGTAATTGCCACACTCAGCTCCAGTCAAGGGACTTTGCTGCACACCATACCCATCTTTCTTTCTCCATATCTTCTGTCTTCAGTATCTCTACACTATTACCTGAGTAATAATGGCAAAATGCCAAAAACAAATCTTATGAAAGTTTATATATACATATAAACCTGTTGTATTCATACCATAAGCCTGGTGCTCCAGTAACTGACACACAGGGCAGGAAATGTAATTTCTTCTGAGTTCAAAGGTCTCTCTCTTTGTCCTCACTGTCCTTCTCTGCTGCATCTGATAAAGCACAAATGCAGAGATGATCCAATAATAAAGGACTAACAAAGGTAAATAGTTTAAGATGGCAGAGTGAAGGGACAGAGGGAATACGGCAGAATCAATCGCTTAAAAAAAGTGGTGAGGGAAATAGAAAAGAAGATAATTAAGGGTGACAGAGAAGGAGAGGGCTCTAGGTTAAAAGAGAGGAGTAGAGGCTGGAGTGTGAGAGTGTGTGTGTGTGTGTGTGTGTGTGCGTATCTGGGTCTCAGTCATTCGTGCTGCTGGTTCACAGTGATCACAGGAAACCTTACTTTCAGTCTACTAAGATAAAAAAAAACACGTGCACACACACACACACAAACACATTTTCTTTATCCATCCATGCATCCATGCATCCTTCCTTCTTTCTTTTATGGATTTTATATCTTCACAACAACAGATTGCTGATGCTGATGCAGTCTCACTTAATTACACCTTAGTCACTCTGCATGTGGATCCTTGTGGAACAACCAAACACACCCACAGAGAACGTGTCACTGATTGTGATGTTGTAAACATTATTAATCTAAATGTCATCCACCTGCATATCGGATCTATGAACATAATTTAACAATTAATTTATATCTAATCTATTCTCTTAAATCTTTTAGTTTTTGTCAGTGATATTAAAAAGTCTCTCTCTCTCTGTCTCGTCAGATCTCCCAGATGATCTCTGAGGCCTCCAGAGAAGGACTGTCTGAAGCTGCCCTGAACCGCCACAACACACACTCTCCTTCTCACACCAGTTCACCATCACACACTAACTCTCCCTCTCACGCTCCAACTGTCACCACCACAGCACCGACCGCCACCTCTGCTGCTGCCTCTTTCTTTGCCAGGTAAGATTCTTTCACACCAAAGTGCCACTGACAGAAGAGGGTGACACACGTGGAGCCCTTTACTCAGTGGGTGCATGTCAGTGCATGTCCTGTTCAATCTGATCTGTCCACACAGATGCATGCAGGGTTTGATATTTATGGGCAGGAGAGATAATTGACTCAAAAATAACTAAATAAAAAGAAAACATAGAAACAACAAAATATATAAATGAATTAGGAAAATAAAAGTGTAATATTGTGGCGTATTGGCACACATAAACATCAATACCAATGTGTCTGTGAAAGGCCGCTTTTTAGTGGCCATTGATAAATCTATCAGGCATTATTTTTTTGTGTCAACTGTTTGTCACTGTGACTGTGAATGGGAATAAACAAAGCTGGGTGGTATCTGCATTTTCTTGAAGCCAGCCACAGGGAGCAACTAAATCTTAGCATACGAAAATCCTCAGTGGTATTGTATAGTGCTCAATGACTAGGATTTAGCAGCAAGGAGACAAAGAGATTTCGTATTACATAGAATGTTGCAAGATGAGACATAGTATGAGGTTTACATGTCCAGACATCACCACATTTATGCTACTGTCTCTCATTTTAACGAATTAAGCAAAAAAACAATCACCATCATGATAAATGTACTTATCTTTTTGTGTGTTTGTGTGTATTCAACTGTCCAGTCAGCTTTCATCAATGAGCTGTGTATTTAAATCTAGTGAAATGCACAGCGACACAACAGGAATGAGACATGGCTAATACTGGTAAATTATTGATGAATAAACAGCTCAAAATGAATGTATAAATTATTCATGGCTAACACAAGACTGTGAGTTTGTCACGGTGTCTGAAGTAGTGCTGAGACGTCAAATCTAATGAGCTGCTTTAAATCACGTTTGAAATGATACCACCACTTTTTCTTCAAACGTTCACAACACATCCCTATCCTCTCCTCCTCTCCTCACACATCTGGTTGACATTCCAAACGTACAACCAGCTGTCTTTCTTCGATTTATGAGCATTCACCTTCTGACTGAAAGAGAGGGCTTTGTTTAAAGGTGCAGGTGTCAGTGTCTGGACATGTGTGTGTCGATGTGTGTACCTGGCAGTCAGTCTTTTTCCTCCTGTTTCAAGCTGTGTAATTACTGTAGATCTTCAGTCCTGTGCTGTGTAATTTCCTTTTAAAATCAGAGTGACAGAGTGTCACAGTGTTGATTTGTTTGGAGCTCAATATTTCATTTAAACTCGAACAGTTTGCCTGCATTTCCCCGTTACTTGGGTGTAAGGATGTAGTAGGATTTCAGTTTAATTGGCACCTCCCTCCCCCCAAAAACACAAAACAACAATGTAGCCTGTACTGTGTCACCTTTTGACTCAGGTGTCTATGAATGTGTATTTGTGTTTATGGTCGAAGGATGCAGCCATGCAGTGCTGCTAAATCCCATGGTTGTCTTGGTCTTTACTCACAGACGTGGACTGCATACAGACACTCTTATTACCCACACACACACACACACACACACACACACACAGATCCTCTTGCTCACTGTTTGCACACATAACCACATCTCCTCTCACCCAATCTCTTTTGTCCTCCTCATCCTCCTCTTTCTAGCTCTTCTCTCACCTCCAAGTCTTTCTTCTAATTGCCACCTTTTGTCACTATGTTCTCTACTTTCTCTCACTCTCCTTCCTTTGCATGGGGCTTTTTATCGGTCTTCAATTCTCTCCTCTAAAGAATTGTTCCGTTTCCACACTGACCTTTTCTTTACCTCTGTTAATGTGCATGTGAGTAATATCTTTCATTAGTACCAATCTGTCTATGAATATGTCACACTCACACAGCAATGCTCCGTCTCCACATTGCTGCAGTGGCCCTCGGGGGATGCTGGATAGAGACATGCTGTACTTTCCTAGGTGTGTGTGTGTGTGTGTGTGTGTGTGTGTG